CCAGCCCATTCTCAATTTCCTGCCAATGGTTCCTGCACCTCCCAAATAAACTGTATATGCTTGAATCCTTGCCTCTGGATCTGGTCTGGGAGAATCCAAACTAAGATAGGGAAATCAAGAACAACTTCCAATTCCTTTTACCCCATTTTTCTTTCCGTCTACTGCTAATCCCACCTTTTGGTAATCCTTCTCACTGCCTCTAGCAGGATGATAGCAGCAGACTGAAGATAATTAGCAAACCTCGATTCTATATGATCGGAACCAAATGGAGTAATTTTAATAAACCAGATTGCCACCTGCTCTCCCCATCCTAATCCCTGGGCCTGCTCATCATTAGGCTCCTTTTCTTTTCCAACTACTCCAGTGCAGCAACCTCACCTTGTTTTCACAATTTCAAAAACAGGAAAGAACAGAAAGGACAATGATCTGAGAGAATCTAGGGAGCCACCAAATGGGAGAGGCAGGGGAATGAAGGATTTTTTCTGTCCCCCTCTTCACTACACAGTTCAGCAAATGCCCAGAGACAGGAAAGCCACAAACTATTAGCAGCCTCATCAAAGGCTATTTACTAAGCATCGCCTCTATGAGGAACTAAACCCTCTCATCAAAAGCCGGGGGCAGAGAGACCTGAATTGCGGTATGCCATCTTTCTTAGGGAAGCACGTTTGTTTACACAGTAGCATTTTACATGTCACAAATGATTCAGAATCGTCACTTTCCATTTGTCCATTGATATGAACTGACTGTTGAGGGGAGGGGGTGTCAAAAAAAAAAAAAAAAAAAAAAGCAAAAGTTGCCCAAAGATCCTTGGGCTTAAGCAAAAAAATGCTTGGTACAAATGAACTGTTGTCAATGTCCATCAGGCACTTTGTAAACATGGCCGCCCCATCTACAAATGAGAAGGTAGCGGATGCTCAGCCACGTCGCAGCAAGGATGCTGGAATCTACACCCCTGGCATGTCAAGGGGCACTGAGATTGGGCACTGGCTGTGGAATCAGTTACATCTGGGATCAAACTCCTGGCTAGCCATGTACTAGCTAGTGACTTTGGGCCTGAGGTTATTTAGCCTCTTTTGGCCTTGGATGACTCGTGTATTTAGTGGAGATAATGATACACTCACTCATGGTGGGGCTGAGATGAATAACAGCCAGTGACAAGCCAAGCAGGCATCCCATCGCTATTAGTCCCCTTCTCTGTTTAGCTATTTGTGGCTGAGGGCAACCTGGCAAATCCACCCTGACTCATTAAAGGCCTGAGAAAAAACATTTCAGTGATTCTTGAGACACGGGATTGTCACTGAAAAAACAAGGATGATGCCCATAAGGAAAAGTTCTTCCCCAGGCCCTTGGTGCCTCTTCCCAAGGTCCCTGTGCAATAGGTGTGAGCTTCTTGAACATCTGTCTCATACTTCTGCATCTCTAGGACTAATTGCAGGGCCTGGCACACAGTAGGAAAGCAAGCTTGGTGCTTTGCCTGACTCTTGCACTAGAATGTAAGTACCATGAATGCAAGGACCTTGATTCTCTGCATTGCTCCCGGTACACACTTCTGAGTTAGACGAGCCTGGGTTCAAGTTTCAGTTCTGCCACTTGCCTTTGGGTAGCTTACTTCCATGAGCCTTGGTATCCTTATCTGTAAAACAGCTAATGATGTCTAAGTGTTGTATGAACTGAGATAAGAGAGGCAGAGCCTAGTACAGTACCTGGCACTTTGTAAACACTCAAAAAATATTATATTTTATTAAGAAATAATGAATGAACTCGTGGATAAAAAGAACTAGATTCAACAAACAACACACACCTCCCTCCCACATACACAATAAAAACATGCCATATCACATTTTCCTTTATGCGTATCAAGACTTTGCCCCAGGTTTTATTATAATACGAAGGTCTCTTTCCCTCTTTGTGTGGCACAGTCATAGCAAGCTCTGATCTGTTCTTGGCATGTAGAGAGTGAACAGATCACACAGTCCAGCCCATTCCACCACCCCCTCATCACCCCTCCATCCCAACACACACATGTAATGATTCTGGTTACAAATAAAGCCAAGGTAATCTCACAGCATCTCCCCCCAAGTATATATTAACACAAATGGAATTCTTCTCTTTGCAGTGGAAAAACCAGACAGATGCCACCTTAACCAAGTGATCAGATGTCATCGATAGCAATGTGTCTTATTAACACCACCAGTAATAAGACATATTGACATGATATACTCCAATATGATGCATGGAGAAGTGTGGTGTTCTCCAAGAAACTTCAAAACCCCTGTCTAATCATGAGAAAACACTGGACAAATCCAAGCCAAGGAACAGCCTAAAAAATAACTGACCAGTACTCCTAAAAGTGTTAAGGTCACGAAAGACAAAGAAATCATGAGGAACCATCACAGATTGGAAAAGACATAAAAACTGAATGCCACATGGGACCCTGAACTGGATCTGAA